TGCGGTTGACACAGACCGACAGACACCCTACCCAAGGTTTGTTCGCGGCCGTTACAACTTTCTTACTACTTTCACAAAATTCTCAACTTTTCATTAAGGTCTCAACTTCGAATTGTAGCATGCAAAATAGTATTTAATGGTAAACTTTAAGCGATCATAACGTTTTAATTTGTCTTCTCTTTTAAATTATCTCTTTTTAAATAAATAGTTTATTAGATTCGTTCAGCTGCAAACAGCGAAAGGAAAAAAAAACTTTCTTAAGGAGAACATGGCATGATTTTCCAAACTAAGCAAAGAAGAAAATACACGAATGTCTTAGAAATATAAAAGATAGTTGGTGAAGTGTCAGCAAAAACCGGTCAATCAAACTTACTTAGGAAACAAATGAAAACACGATGGGACAACGGCCATGACCAAACACCCTACCATACTTCGCTTAATACAATTATTCATATAATTACTTTTCAAAATAAGATATTGTATAGCAAGGGTTAGAAGAAATGCTTCGAACCTAGTAATCAAAATTCTTCAAAAATTACGGCCATTGTTTTGATCACAACATGCACAAACGGACATATGGACAGACAAGCTTACCTTGACGCAAAAAGTGATTGTACAAGAAAAGATCTCAAGTCCTTCTGTGTATCACGCAAACTTAATACATTCCCTGTAGCACAAGGGGTTTAGAGTTTAGTGAAAGTAAAAGAAATACAAAATAAAGAATGATGACAACAACCTACTTTGCACAACAAACTGTTAGATGTTGAAAAAGAAAAGTGAATGACAGTATATCCAATATATAACAATTCGCCTATAGGTATTGTAGAATAAAAATGCAAAATATCAGATAGCGAAATAATAACAATTAATAATAAAGCAACAAGCGAAAATTTAAAAAAAAAATTAAGTAAGATAATCGTCAGAGCTAAAGTAAACTGCTTAGCTAGTAACTGGATAACTTGAATGCCTCTTCTCCTCCTGCGTTTTACTTATGTCAAACACTGGTGAGCTGCAAAACAATATATTTTTTGCCGTTGGCATCTGCGTACTAAAGCTTCAGCATATATATAAGACAACCTTCACTGCCTGGTGTCAGTATGAGTTGAGACTTTAAATGGCTTTTCCACTGACCAACATTGCGTATTGGTGATCCCAAAGTGTTTTAAACTCAACCTAAATCTAGCCATTCTATAAAAAACGAAAAACGCTTGCCAAGAATGCAGTCCGTGTTGTGTTTACTTAAATGGTTATATGAATGTACGCTCATTATAAATTTGCCCACTGTCTCTTTATATTTAAGAATTAGATATTCTATCAGCTTAGTACTTGAGATCTCTGTACGAGTTTATGATAATTTTCCAAACAGGAATAAATAATACTGAAGAAAAGAAAATCACGTATTTATAGTATGCACAACTACATAATAGCATAAGCCAAGCATAATAAAAGCGTAAAACGTTACGTATGAACATAGAAACAAATCAATCCGGTCACGTATACGTACCGTTATCAGCAAAAATGATGTCGGAGCACAACAGTTTGCTTGCTTACATTAAATGCAAATTGTCATGAATCCTGCATTGAGCTGAATTCCTTACAAATAAATAAAAAAAAAAAAATTTTATGTGCGACATACTGTTTATATAACAAATAGCTTTTCAAGATTGCTTGCGATTAATAATTAGATATCTTTCTATCAACTCATTTGCTAAAAGAAAGAAGAGAAGCGAAAACTTATTCAATCATCTCTTAAGGAGAAATGTGTTTAGGAGTAAAACGAACAAATATTGAAATTTTTTTTTTTATTACTTGGGGATGGCATCGCCAGTGGTAACTTACTTGAACTGATGAATAGCTGTTAATTTAGTTTCCGAAGGTTCGAATATAAGTGACTTGTTTTTAATATGACAAATTACTCGGAGAATGCCCCATATACGTGTACCACGATGACGAAGTGGTGAAGAGTGTCTACACATAAGATGGCAGAGAGATAAATTACAAATAATGAAAGCAAAAACATTACATTATTACAAAATAAAACACTTCGCTACCAGCCTTCACATAATAAAAAAATTCATTTCGAGATTCTGGCGTTCAGATCTGATAAATATGTTTATATTTACAATTTTCTTGATGTATGCAACACACAGAACGACTTGAAATGCATCGAGCTTTTCAGATCTACTGTTTGAATCGCTTTAACTTTATATAATGTAATTCTTGACTCTACATGCAGTTATTATTTTCACTTTGGGCTTCGAGATTTCTTTACAACACTTCTCACAATTTAAATGTGACATCTTTTGTTTGATATTTCCTATTATCCGAAGCAGTGTGGCTATATATATAAATGCAATTACCGGCCTTGCTGGAACTTTACAAATGCTTTTTACATTGCGCGTTTCACCCAATTTTTCCAAATCCTTAATAGTTCTCCATGTTTTCTTAATCTGTAACTCGAAAGAAAAAAATCGTAAATTTGTATACTCGCAAAATATTATCTTGTACTGCTTACGTCATTAGCTGTTTCCAGCACCTTTTCAGGAATGAACATTAGCGAGAAGGCCTGAACTTCGTCATTTAATGATTCTAAGCGTTCTTCGAAAACAATGCATTCGCTTAAGTGCAGTCTCTTGAAATCTTCAATGTCAACTTTTTGCTCTTCTCTTAACGTAGACAAACGCTCTATGATAGTCCTTGGCCAAGCAACAGCCTCCCACTTCATAGCAAATTGATGATCAGGCAAATTGTAGAAAAAAGAATCTAACATGTCGTATTCCAGGACCATAATTTGTGTATCGGCTTTAACCTGATCCACTACTTCGGGCACTGTTTGAGCGAATTCTCGTATATCGTAAAGATGTTCTATACTTTGTGGTCGTTCATGTATTTTATTATAAATATCCATACACCGTTCTATCAAATGTTCGTTGATATCATACATACGATCTACATAATATTCAAAAATTTTTTTAACAATTTCTATCCTTTTTCGTATCATATGCTGTTTCATCGGATCAACTATAACTAAAAATGGGCAGATAATTATGGTTGGCGGCAAAGTGACACGTAGTTCCTCCTTTTGACGCTTGTGTTCCAAAATATCGGTCTTAACTTGCAACGAAGACTTTTTCGCTGCTTTGTAATTTTGCATATACTGTTGCACGTTAAGCAGGTAGAAATCCACATAATGATCATATTTACGGGAATAAGAGATTAATGGTATAACAGCCTTTGCATAACATCTCTGCATAAGCTCATCACATTCCAAATACAATTCTTCTATCAGCTCGACAGTGAGTATGAAAAGATTGGGGGCAAATCTTAAACTGATCAATGTCTTCGCGTCTATGCAACGCACTGCGTTTGTCTTTTCCAAACTCTTTTTGAATATTTCTTTCATTGCGACTTGAAATTCTTCCGGATTCGTATTGAATACAACTTTTCCGTCTTCTGACACACTCAATATTAAGCTGAAGATAGCTTTAGGAAACGGAAATGCAGTCTCAATATAATTGTTCGCCCATTTGTAATCGTTGGAAATGTTAAGCATTTGCATGCAAGGGTCGCAAAGGAATTGTTTGAAATTTGATATCGATTTCTCTAATAAAACATGCATAGATTCTTGCATGCGGAATTTTACTTGCAGAATAAAGCGAGAAATCTTACACATTTGATACACGCTCCATTTGTCCAGAGTTATGTCCAACCCGCCTTTACCTAAGGCTCTTAAAACAATTGTCACGCCTGCGGAAATTTTTGAAGGCCAAAACGACTTCAGATAATTAGACACATGTGAACTGTTTTGATCTTGAGCTTGCAGGAAATCATTTAAAAACGAAGGCTTTGCAAAATTAATCAAAAATAACGTCATCGTTTCTATATGTTTACATTCCTGAGTTACATTCTGCATATGCCACCCTTAGTATAATAAAGTGAATATGTTAAGACGCTCGTACGCTTTTGTTTTAGCTTTATAACTAAACTTTTAACCAAGCGTCGCTCGCTGCCGCTGAGTATTGAAGGAAATGCCTTTGGCAAGGAACTTCGAATTACGTCACCGGTAAATTTTGGAAACTCCTTGGGCAGCAATTTAACGAACTTTTCAAACTCATAGATTTCCGTATTGAGTTGATTAAAAAATGTAGGATCCGTTTTTACTTTACTCATCAGCCTATCCACCAACTTATTAGGATAAATACGTAGCTCGCTTAAATCTTGTAGCATTACACAGTCAACTATGGTTTCCAGCATGATAACAGTCTCGGCCTCATTACGTACCTGCACGGCTTTCTTCAGGCGCTCAACAAAAATATATGGATTTTAGGCCATAAACATGACTTGTACTTTAGGTACTTCATACACGTGCTCATCTGATAAGTTCATAGCTGTCCATTTACCAGTGTCGTCGTCATAGCTTTGGATAGCTGCGAATTGCCAGTGATAGTCCATTAACCTCTGATTTACCGGCAGGAATGCCTTTGCGGGTAAAGGGTAAAATTCGCCACTTTCAATTTGTCCTAATTTTAGCCAGGCTGTGGGGGAATGTGTATCATAATTGGAGTCATCAAAAAAACTTAAAGGCAAAAAATGCTTAAAAGCATATTCTGATAGTATGTAATATTGTTCTTCGGTGGGCATTAACTCGCTTGCAGTCAAGCCGGCTTTCTCAAATTCTGCTTCCAAATTGGTTTTTGCATATTGTTTCCTTCGACGTTCTACTTCAAATTCAACCATTTTTACGCCGTCTCAATGACATGGGAATGCGGTGTCAATTGTTCATTTTTAACTTTTAATTCGCACCGCTCTGTTGGCAAGTTCTGGGTTCCTCAATGCTAAGTCGCTCAATACTCTCGGCACGGGCTTTTAAAATTGACGACGAGTAAATGTTCGTACGGCGGATTTCCGCTGAATCAGCTTTCTGTAACGATGTTGCTTTTTTGAATATGGCAGTCGAAGGTCTCGAACGTCTGGCCATATTCAACGTTTTTTAAATTTCAGATTGTTCGAAAATATATTTTTTTTCTCCGGGTTTTCTGATAGTTTTTTCTTTTCCTGAAAATACTATTTGCTTCTCAAATGAATAATTGAAATCTTTCTAAATTCTACATAATTTTCTGAAGTGTGTCTTAAGTCATTTTTAAAATGATGAAATTTATATGTGTTGTTACTTCTCAATACATGGCAAACAAATAGAAGAAGAATTCTTATTTTGTTTGCACGAAGCAAAATGTAAGTTATTTTAATAGTACAGTTCAAGCAAAGTGTTTCCTTACACGTATAAGCCACAAATTTTATTCGCTTAGTCCATCCTAACTCAACATCCAAAAAAAAAAAAAATGTAATTATCCGATTTTTTTTGCTCAGGAAGAACATCAAAGAAGTGTTGTTTACCTCAATGCAGGGATTTACGATTCAACTTGGCTCAAAGATTTCCGCGCAATAAAAGCGGTCTTAAGCATCCCTAACTGAATTTGTATGCTGGTCATTTTCATACTGCAGTCCTTATACAAGGTGAATTAAATCTCGATGTTGGTCCTCTTGATGAACATAATCTATCTAAAGATAACGAAGGAAGATATATTGGTTCATTCATGGAAGCTAAGTAAGTGTTAGTAATTTACACATATATATTATGACTGACATATTGATAGGAATTTTTAAGACGCCTAAGTTTATTCGATAATTCCTTTGTATGAGAAATTTCAAACTCCGCACCTTTCCTAATTTCCTCAAAGCGATAATTTGATTTTTTTCTCTTTTTACAAGTCCAAAATCCCAGTTGTCAATTTCAGTGTAGTGCATTGAATGTAGGGAGGCCCGTCCCGTTACTCCAAAAAATTGTTGCGCGCTTCGTTATATAAAACGGAGGTGTGCGCTTAAACAAAAGACAACTGCATTCCCTTATTCGGTAATATTTTAATCATTTAAACAATGATTAGAATTTATTGGAATTTTTTGCTTTCATAAAAATGGTTAATAAATCGTTTTCGTGAAAAAGTGCAGAGCTATATGACACAAATGCAGATGCCTGACAGTTAATTAGATCTTTGGGTGTGGAATTTGGAAATTCTTCATTGTTAGGCGAAAAGAAAGGAAAAGAAAAAATTTGATGGCACTGCTTACCTTTATGATTTCGCTTTTCAATGGCTTCAAAAGATTACAAAAATGTAAGAAGCTATGCAAGTAAAGGTGTGAAAATATTGTGAAAATGACAAGACAAATCAGTTTATATTAGAGTAAAAAGCATAGAAATCCGCTAAAGCCTTTTTTTCAATAAGTATATAACGATCTTGTCGATTTGTAAAATAATCATTCCACAGATTGGCTCTTGATATAAGTAGAGCATCGTCGAATAAAGATATTTTCATATGCTGCAAACTTAATAGTTTATTCCAACGTGGCGGTATCCAACGTTTAGTTGCTGTTGCTCAAGCATCAAAAGAGCTTGGCCAGGTAATCCGTGCTGGAGATCCCCATCAATTCCAACCAGTCGTTATAAACAAATATGCTCGTGGACGCGGTTTATCCACATCATTT